GAGGGTATATGCTATGGTGAGCGCTGTGAATTGTGCAAGACTGTTGAATCACAGATCTGTACTTCTGAAACAAATAATGCAAGATATGTTAAGAAAAAAAAATAAGAAGAAGATGGGGGAGGGGAAGAATGAAGGGGGGAAATCGGAGGGGGAGATGAACCATGAGAGACGATGGACTCTGAAAAACAAACTGAGGGTTCTAGAGGGGAGGGGGGTGGGGGGATGGGTTAGCCTGGTGATGGGTGTTAAAGAGGGCACATTCTGCGTGGAGCACTGGGTGTTATGCACAAACAATGAATCATGGAACACTACATCAAAAGCTAATGATGTAATGTATGGTGATTAACATAACAATAAAAAATTTAAAAAAAAGAAATACAACAAAAGAACAAAGGAGACGTGATCTTTTTTCTAATGGCACCTGAATTCCAATGGAGCAGACAGACAATTAGCAAGCAAGAAAGAAATCACTTCAGAGGGTGGTAAGCATCGTGAAGAATAAATGGGTAACAGGGTCAGGTGGAGGGACTGGTGACAGGTGCCCGTGGGTGGACAGGGGAGCCCTTTCTGAAAGATTATCTCTGTGTGGGTCACAAGCAGAGCTGTGTGAGGGCTTGTGATTGAGCGTGGGGCGGAGGCAGAGCGAGAGGGAGGCCCGGGGACCAGAAGGGCCAGGGGGGCAGCTGGTGGGGGGAGTCTGGGTCATGAGAGTCTGGAAAAGGACAGGCATCGGAGCACGCAGGACAGGAATGTGGGGAGGAAGATGTGAAGGAGACACACTCTGTCTGTGTCATCTCAGAATTTGGGGGTAAGGAGGATGTTCCAGGATGATTTCAGAGGAGTGAGACTCTAGGACCAGGAGGGCAACAAGGAGAGGTGAGTGCCTCAGTCTAGGGGATAGGGGAAGTTTTAGGTGTTATAAAGAAGCCAAGTTACGAGATGGAGGCAGCCGGTGATTCATCTGTGGCTTGAGACCTCTTTCTTTTAAGGGCAAAAGTATGCAAAACTATTTTCTTTCCTACTATTATGGAATTTCCAAAGCGGGAATCCTGACTACACCTCTGGTCTGCCTTTGTCAAGCTGTGTGTCTTGGGATGGGTGGTCACCCCGACCTTGACCGACAGTGCGTAAATGTGAAGTTGGCAAAAATGCCCAAGGGCCACGGAGCTGGCCTTGTGTCATCAAGACATACGTCATGGGTTTTCCAGTTGAGTTACATAGAGACTGCTCTCCTAATTTTAAAATTGTTCCAAAGTGGATTCAAAATTAAATAAGCAAGCAAAACAGATAAGGAATGAAATCAATGACCCTGGAATGGAGAGGTAGAACATATGGGGTACACCTCTAGTGAGAATCCCCCAAGGAAAGATAAAACACAGATGCCTAGGTGGCTCAGTCGTTGAGCATCTGCCTTCAGCTCAGGTCGTGATCCCAGGGTCCTGGGATCGAGTCCCATGTCGGGCTCCCTGCTCAGTGGGGAGCCTGCTTCTCCCTCTGCCTCTGCCTCTCTCTCTTTCTCTCTGTCTCTCATGAATAAATAAATAAAATCTTAAAAAACAAAAGATAAAACGCACAGGGGCACAGAAACCGATTCCTGTCCGAGCCTTCCTGTCTCATCACAGAAAGCTAAGGACAAAGAAGGAAACCTGCATGTTATGCACTGTCTGATCATAGTAAATCTTACTCTAACCTTCCTTGGCCCTGAACTTCAAAAGGGGATATTCATTTAAGGAGCAAAGTTATACATAACATCTCTGATTAAAAAGCTTCCAAAAAGACAACTAACCCCAAGTGGCTGTTTCTCTCAACAATCCTTGCGGAAGAAGAAATCATCCCACCAAATCAGAGTCTTAGAGCCTTCGTAGGGTGTTTGTGGGGCAGAGAATGGGTCCCCGGCTTGTCTGTTTCTGGAGGTCCGGCCTACCATTGGGATAGGATTGGATAACCTTGAAGATCGTGTTGCTATGGTCTCTGGATGACCTGGCAAATGTTTTCTCTGAAGGTGGTGGGTCCCCCCAAGCAGAAAGCTGTTCTACCTGCTGCCCCGAGGGAGAGACACCTACCGTGCTCACCAGCTCTGCATGGGGGTGGAAGGGGGCTGCACTACCTCCCTCGCTCCTGCCACCCCCTCTCTATTGGACCCCACTGTCCTCTCATGTCACATCCACTGTGACCTGTGCAGACCCGCACTTGTAAATTTTCCATCATCCTGTGCAATGGTGCAAAGTTCCCTCCCTTCTGAGAACCCAGTCTTTTGCAAGGATGACCAGACCAGTAGAGCTGAGAGTCCTCCTGGAGAAATGGATGCTCCTGCCTCTCCTCCTGATTTCCCCAGCATATCAGTTTGGACAAGTGCATTTCACTTTATATCTGGCATTTCTGAGTGTTTGTCCCCCCCTCAGCCTCTCCAGCCACCCAGAGCCCCTCTGTCTGTCTCCCTCCTCCTGCAGGGTGTTGGGGTGTGGGGGGCTGTCAGAGAGTTTCCCCAGGATCCTGCAGTCACACCTCTGTTTTCACTACCTCTGCTTGTCCCGTTGAAAATTTGTAATGAAAAAAAAATTCAGAAGCAAGTAATCACCGGCCTTGCCTGTATCAAAACACAGCTTGTTTCTATCCCGGACAACGTGTGCTACAGCAGAGCCCTGACACACGCATTTCAGCATAGATGAGGAATCCCTGGCTGCATTTATATAACAGTAAAATCCCTGTCGGCATGCACAAAATAAAATAAGTCTCCCCATGTTTTCCTCAGCCCACGCCTGAGATGGGTTTCTGCCTCCCTCGCCCTGCTGGAGCCTCGTTGACTTATTGGCTCTGGCCTCTCCTCACTTTCCTGGGAATGGGTGGGTTCCCTCCACTCTGGGAAGTGGCAGGCCAGTGATACTGAGGAAAACCTTGCAGCAAACACGGGGTGAGATGACACCCAGACCATCCCAGCTCCTCCCAGCATGCCTTGCAGCTGCAGGAAGCCACCCACCCGAATTTCAGAAACCGCAGGCTCCTGTGGGTTCTGAGATCCCCTGTTTTATGTTTTCTGTGTGTTGTTGGTCGTCTTCTTTCACATTTCTGAGCTCCGACCGGGAAAGAGCACCCTCTGCTCTGTACCACGTGTCCCCGTTCCCAAACGGGGGGTTGTGGGCTCCCTCCCAAGCAGCCGGGGGTGCAAAAAAAAAAATGCCTCACTGCTGTGCTCTGAGCTCTGTCTTATCTGGTGTGCAGAAAGAAGGGACCTGTGTCTTGTGGAATCACACCCCCCCCCCATCACAAGCTGAGGGGCTCTAGAGCAAACAGGGATGTGTTCTCGGCTGGCGCTCGGTGCTTGGAAGCGTGAATATATTAGACCCTGGAATGAGGAAGCAGAGGCTGCCCTGGTTTTGAGCCAGAGCTGAGAGAAGCTTCTCCCCCACTTCTGTTGCATCCCCTCCTTCTGCCCAGAGAGGCTCTTTTCCTTTCTCCTGCCTGTCCCCTTCTTGCCCTTTGCAGACTCAGCCTGAATTGCACACCTCGCCCTAGCCCTGACGCTGCCTCGAGCCTCCTTCTGCCTCACCTCCGCCTTCCAAAGCCCTGTGTGGCACTGCCATGGCTCATGGCCTCTGAGCTTTAGGGGGACGGAGCGTTGTGGGCCCCTTATCGCTGGAGCCCAGCCAAGCGGCTGGACCTGTGGAGGCACGCGGGTCCCCACTGTGCCTCAGCCATCTGGTGACAGAGCGCTCAATGCAGGCATATTCCGAATCAGAGCTGCTGGTTGAGACCAGAGGTGGACTCTCCAGCTGCCTCAGTGAGGCCCTCGCAAGGGCTGCGGTGGGTCCCTGGCCCACTGCACCCAGCCTTCCTGCCCACAGGACCGGCCCAGGCCGCCCACCTGCAGCAGCTGCAGCTCTGGGTCCAGGCGGTTGCTGAGGCCATACCCCTCTCCCAAGGCGGCCCTTCAGTTTACCAGGACTCCGTTTCTCCTTCAAACTGGGAGCTGCCCTGGGAAATGGCTGCAACACGGAGGTGGAGAATGTCCCCTTTCAGGATCCCGCAACGCCTCCAGAGCAGACCCCTGAAGCTGGTTGAGAAATCCAATGCACTGTTTTGTTTTCTGTTTCCCTCCCGGCCTGCTAGGCCTGGCAGCAGGACCAGCTTCACCCTCCGGCAAACAGTGCGATCACTCAGGCTCTCGGAAGGCCTGCAGCGAACGCTCTGCGCTGCGGGGAGCGATCTTGAAGTTGTGGCGACTTCCATCCTGGATTTATGTTTTGCAGGTGAAAGCCAGGGGAGCAATGGAGCATGAGCAGAAGGAGCCTCAGCTCACACGCAGCCCCCCCTTCGGCTTCCTCCCGCTCCCTGGAACGGGTTCTTGGCCACCTGCCCCATGCCTCCACCCGGCCACCACTGCCCTGAGCTGGGACCCTGGGCGGGGCCCCGCAGGGACACGGACAGGGTCAGGCGTGTGCAGGCGTGGGGCTGAGCCCCACATACTGTGAGGGTGTGCCACTGCCCCGTGATTGTCACCCCTTGCACCAGGGAGATGGCCCTAAATAGCACATAAAAACCATCATGACGAGTTAAGAGAGAGACCACTAAAGAAGGAGAAAAGGTTTATCCTGCTTTTTGGCTTGGGGGCCCGCATTTTCAGGGTGCGTGGGGCCCTGCGTGTTATGCATCTGGCTCCGCCTGGTAACCCACAGCCCCAGGTTATTGATGAAGTATCGGCTCCTAGAGGCCCCCATGCAGTCTGGTAATTTAGATGACAGTTCTTCCTAAGGAACAGGGTATAAGGAGAAGCCCCGGGATCGTGGAACTGAGTGTCAGAGGACACAGAACGCACGCACCGCCTCTGTCTTGTAGCTTATGTTCTACAGAAGCAAAGGGCCTCAGGGGCCAGCAAGCGGGGATCAGGCCACCTCCTCCTCAAAGGTAAAAGTTCTCGTGGAGGATTTAAGAGCTGCCTTCTCCACCCGTGTATCTAAAATAAGGCTGCAATTTTGCATTTGTGCCCGAAAATAAGGAAGTGAGATTCCTACCTACTGGAAAGACAGTTACGGGGGGCTGCTCTGGGAGGCGAGTGTGGCCTAGGCCTGCAGACCGTGAGCCACACGTGCAGGGGAAACCAGGAGCTCCAAACAGGTAGCCACAAGTTCTGTTGCTCCGGGCAAGACAGCAAGGGGCTCAGTTTCCTGGCCTGAGACGTGCAAGAGCGCCCAGGCTTCGCCGGGAACCGGTGGGGATCGCTAGCTGTTACTTCCATGCCCCTGTGCCCGTGTCCTGGAGCCCTGCTGGGCTCTACGCCCCGTCAGGGATGCCTTTCTGTCCTGTATGTGCCAGCTCCGTGCTGGCTCCCAGCGGGGCGTGCCTCGTGTGTGGCGGCGGTTTGTTCCAGAAAGCTCCTCTGAGCTGAATGTGAGCTTCACGGCCAACCAGAGCGATCAGTTTTGCGACAGGGACAGGGCGACAGCTAGAGCCGGGGATGTTTCCCAGGGCCTTTGGAAAGAGAAACTTTGCCTGATGCAAGAGCTTCAAGGGCAAACATTCTCCCTTCCTCTAAATGGTATGTCTGAGAACAAGGTCTGGACGTTAGGGTGGGGCTTATCTGAGCGAGGGCCACCACCCAGGGTCCCAGGGCGAGGCTAACGCGGTAGCAGGGGCAAATGGAGAGTCACTGATTTCCCCGCTGATCTGCTGCATCCAGCTCTTCCTCCACCTGCTGTTGACTTTTTATTAGAACTCATGCATTTCCTAGATTGTTTAGATAAGTTTAGTTTTAATGACTTAGTAAGTATTAAATTCTATTCAGCATTGTTCAACTTACGTTTTTACTAAGTCATGAGGTCAACCACTGATTTTATCTCTCTTTTTTCTTAAGATTTTATTTATTTACTTGAGAGAAAGAGAGAGAGAACATGAGAGGGGAGAGGCTCAGAGGGAGAAGCAGACTCCCTGCTGAGCTGGGAGCCCAGTGTGGGACCTGAGCCGAAGGCAGTCGCCTAACCAACTGAGCCACCCATGTGCCCTAATTTTATCTCTTCTTGACCACATGACAAGGAGACCAGCTCAAAATCCTTAGCTGGGTAGTTCTTCTTCTTTTTTTTTAAGATTTATTTGTTTGTTTGTTTGTTTGTTTGTTTGTTTAAAAGAGAGAGTAGGGGAAGGGGCAGAGGGAGAGAAACTCAAGCGGACTCCCTGCTGAGTGCAGACCCCCCACCCCAACATGGGGATCAATCCTACAACCCTGAGATCATGACCTGAGCCAAAATCAAGAGTCCGATGGCTTACCTGGCTGAGCTCCCCAGGCGCTTCCTTACCCGGGTAATCCTATGGACCATGTGATTCATCACCCTCTCTGGAGAAGACCTTCTCTTATGTGTGTTTGCACACCAGGGAGAATGTGAGCCTGTTGCTTCCATCATACTTATTCTGTGGAAAAACAGTTAATACAAATAGGGGGCCAGAGTGGGACACGGAGAGTGTGGTGGGCAGAACCCTGACATGACCCCCCAATGACTCTCGCCCTTATATAATATCCTCCCCTTGAGTGTTGGCTGAATCTGCGAATATGATAAAATATACAACCCCATAAGTACATTGGGTTATATGACAAAAAGGATTTTGCTGATGTTATTAAGGTTGATGATCCATTGACTTTGAGCTAATCAAGAGAGAGATCATCTAGTTGGACATGAGCCCTTTCAGTACAGCTCTAGATGTCAGAGGCAGGAAGTGAGAGAGTCAAAGCATGAGAGAGATTTGGCATTCAGGAGACTCTCCCCTGCTGGCTTTGAAAATAGAGGGGCCACGTGGCGGGGAATGTGAGCAGCCTATAAGAGTTGATAGCTGTCTCCTGCAAGGAGGACACAGGATCTGAGTCTTGCAATCACAAACAATAAATCTGTCAATAACCTGGATGAGCTGGGGAGTTGATTCATCCCTAGAGCCTCCAGAAAAGAGCTCAGCACAGCCGACACCTTGATTTTAGCCTCAGAAGACTTGAGCAGAGAACCCAGTCATACCTTGACCAGACTTGTAACCCACGGAGCTGTGACCTAAGAAGTAGGAATAGTTTTAAGACTCAAATTTGATGGCCATTTATGATACAGCAAAAGAAGGACCTGGCTTGAAAGCCTCCACCCAGAGACCTACAAAGTCATTCTTTCCCTGGCTTCTGTAATTACTTGGGAAAATAGAGTCTTTTATTTGTTTAGGTTTATTACAACTGGATTTCCATTCTTTGTAACCAATGTCTTCTACCCCAGCTCTTAAATTCTGTTACCTTCTGATACACTTTAAGGAATAGACTTCCTGGACAAAGCATATTAATTTTCTTAGAAGCTTGATGAGAATTTTTAATCATTTTCAAAAAGAGTTGGGTTGATACACACTGCCATCAAAAAGCCAAGAATATGACAACATTGGCATAACTTTACCATTATATTGATCTTCTTCTGTGATTTGTAACAATGTGATTAATTTGTACTTCTGGGGGGCGTTCAACTTTCAAATTGGAAATGTATAATCAATTTGTGTGAATTATCTGTTCATTCAATTTGTCCAACTTTCTACTGGAACCTGAATATTTTTCTCACCGATTTTTATGAGAATCCAAATAAATCTCTCATATTTATTTATTTATTTTTAAAGATTTTATTTATTTATTTATTTGAGAGCGAGAATGAGAGAGAGAGAGAGCACATGAGAGGAAGGAGGGTCAGAGGGAGAAGCAGACTCCTTGCTGAGCAGGGAGCCCGATGCGGGACTCGATCCCGGGACTCCAGGATCATGACCTGAGCTGAAGGCAGTCGCTTAACCAACTGAGCCACCCAGGCGCCCCAAATCTCTCATATTTATTGACAATATTTTTTCTAGTTTGCTTTCCTTTTAATTTTCTTTCCATCATGCACTTATTTGTAGGACCTTCCTATTGTGTATGTCCCATATGTGTTATTTTCTCCCTTCCTGATTTCTTATATAGGCTCAAAATTTGGGAATTATGAAAATTTTCTGATACATATTCTACTTCTGTTTTTATTTCTGGGATTTGTCTATATCATGAAGCTTCCCAAGAATTAGGTCTTGGATTTATATATCCATTTTGGTTTTTCTGTTTTCTTTTTTTTCTTCTTTTATGGTAGTTCTCACCGGTCTCTCTGTCACTAACTACAGAAACCCAATTTGAATTGGCATGAACAACAGCCGATGACTTATTTAAGAGATGCTTGACTGGTTTGCAGATGTGAGGGGCACGCGGGAAGAATGAGCAGGTGGGGAAGGCTTGGGCAGGTGTGGAATGCTCTTTGCCTGCCCCTCTCCCTTTCTTTCTCTCTCAACTTCAGGATCTCAGTGTATTATTTTTTCCAGGGGCAGACACTTCTCCATGCTGAAGAGAACGTGGGAGCTCTGGCCTGACCCTTTATGGCACCCAAGGCCCACAATGACCCTGTTCTCCAGCCGTTACCAGGAAAGTCCAGGGAAGGCCCCACTGGCCCAACATATAGAATCAAATAACAATTGGTGAAAATTTCCCCAGGAAGAAACCTCCCGGCTCTCAATGACGAGAAGACTTTCAAACTCACCGTTTTAAAAATCTGAGCGTGCATGACCCAAAGCCTCCTGGACGTCTCAACCAGGCTACAGACCAACCTATAAAGCTGAAAATAGAGGTTCTGTCACTAGCCCCCTGCCACACCCCACATTCTCCCAGGAATGACCGCGGTCACCTGCTGCCAGTGGAGAGCTGGGATTCCTCCACCACTGACTGTGGGACTCTGGG